TGGGGATAGAAGGTAAAGGAGAAACAGAACAACCGAAAGAAGAGAAAGTACAAGGACCCCGGCCAGGCTTTCACGCTCGCTCCTTCTCCGTCGGGCAGTTAAAGGATTAAAGGACTTTTTTAAATCCGCAAACAACCCCGAAAAAGGGTTAGAGCGACGCGTTTAGGCAGATGCACCCGTGAAATCCGGTCGTAAACGCTCGTCGCCAGGGAAAACATCGGCGACGGCTCAATTTTCGAAAATCGCCTGCTACTCGTTTTCAACCCTTCCGCTACCTGCCTCGACGGGGCCAAACACTGGAAGAATGAAACGGACTGACGAAAGGAGAAGGAGAAAAAAGAAAAAGAGGACACGCTGCTCGTTCGCTCGTTTATGCAACCCTTTCACCGGCTGACGCGAGGATTAACCGATTGCCTTCGCTAATGTGTCGGACAGGACTGTTTTGGAACTTTTCAACGAGGATGTAATCTAATATAGAAAGGGTGTTCGGGAAATAATAGAGGTTTCGACTTCTTCGGGATACTTCCGTGGCGCTCGACGCGAACGTAGGTTCTCAGTGAAGAAGATACTACGAAGATACCAGGAAGAAGTAATTTTCGAGACAATCGACTTATTACTTAATTAACAGTTGACTAACAGTTAGAGAACAGTGAAGGTAGGTTTAATTAGTAACAATTAACACGTTATCTGCCGATCGCTGTTCCGCGCTGCAAGGATCAACGACTTCTCTATCAATCCTGCGATACTAACGGCAATCGCAATGAACCAATAAATCCTTTCGACTAACACAACCGATACCTCAAGCTATTACATAAAAGAAACTATTAAACTTTCCAATGTAGCGTAAACACTGGGAAAACTATTAAACCGTTCGACGGCGAGCGCGGTCTATTAATCTATTAATAGGCGGCAGACAAAAATAAACCGATCAACCGAAAGAAACGCGTGAAAAAGTTCGCAAGGTAGACGTGCGTCGATTACAGAGAAATGTATCAAGATCGGCAGATTGTAACGATCAACGCGATGGAAGCACGCGTCGGCGAGCCTCGGATCGGGAAGCGTCTAATATTCGTCCGCGAGTCGAGCCGGGCTCTCGAAAGCGCGATAATCCGAGGCTTTCGACGCGCTAATCCACGACGGAGTCGGAGGATTACAAGATGTAAACGGCAAAGCTGTCGTCGTAAACGAGCCCGGCGCGCGATTTCGAGAAACATAGTCGGGGCCAACCCGTTTTCCCTCTACCTGCGAGCCCGGGGCTCTCCGTTGAGACGACGCTCGCAGGGCGAGACGCGAAAACGGAGCTCGAACAGGAATAAAATCGATATACGGCGGCGTGCACGTGCGACGGGAAACCGAGGGAAATGATTCCCGCGCGAAGAAGTCGACGCAGGACACGTTTTCCCGAGTTTCTGGGAATCCGTTGGCAAGGGTCGCGTAATTCGACGCGCGTCCTCGAAAGGAAATCGAGAGATTTTCACCGCTATCGTTCGACATTTTTTCGAAAAAAAAAGAAAGAAAGAAAGACGAAGGAACATATTTTACGTATAAGGGCTGGAGTCTCTCCACCGTCCTCCCCCGTGAGCGTGACTATTTGTAGAAAAGGGTAGAAGCCCTTCTCCGGTTGCCTAAATTTTTCATCGGGTAGAATTATTTATTTTCTCTTTGTCTTCGTGACTTCACTTTGATGTCTACATCGCGCGAAGTGTAATTTGCTTCGGGAACACGGCGATTCACTTCTCGAGAGTGAAGTATGATTGAAAGCTCGTCAATACGTAATGAGATAAAGATATATATTCGACGGGAGACGCGCGAAGACACGGTCGCCGGACAAAGCGACGGATTCTAGTGAAGTTGCCCGGGTAGAACTTGACCCTTTTCATTCCTGGAAGCTATTATCCTTTAATTATTGACCAACGTGTACCGGGAAGTAATGATAGGACTGTCCTGCGAATCATATGGATTACTGCACTCGGTGGCATTGCGCATACTTATATACATTTAAACTTAATCCCTTGAAGATTGTTTGAAGTATACAGAACCTTCTGCCGATTCTGCTGAATCAGACGTTAATGCTAAATAATGGAGAATGAGGAAACTACGTACTGATTTCTCGCTGTTTGAATAGTTCAATCATTTGTTTGCTACTTGATTCTCCATTGAAGGGATTGATAAAATGGGTTAAGAACTTAATTCGGAATCAGAATGGGGAAATAAAGTATTCGATTGAAGTATTATAAGAGACATCCGGAACTTCATGTGCCCCATTAATGTGCAGTCTACGCAATTTTATACTTTATTCCACGTAAATGCATAGTCCGCAGTTTAGCGAAAGGAAGGGGTGAAAAGGGAAGAAGTTCTGTGAAGTATTAGAAATTAATCAGCGTACTTCGAAAAGTTGTTGAGGAAAAAGAAATAAGGGAGAATTATGAAGGAAGCTTTTCAAAGGTTTGCGAGTCGCGAAGATGGGTGCATAGAAATGTAGAAGGGCGGATTAAGTACGCGACAGATACCGGAAGAGGGGAATCCTGGCAGAGAGAGAAAGTCTGTCCCTTTTTTTTCCTACCCCCCCACCTAGACACGACATAACGGTGTATTACACCAGGAGCGGAGAAAAGTGGTTGCTGGCATGAATGGCCAGTGTTTTACAACAGTGGCGAGAGTCGAATAACCCTCGTGGCTTTGTTGAATCGCGGCTTTTACGAATGTACCTGCGGTAAAAATCAGCCACTGTGCGCACGGAAGCCTCAGGGTGGGCCCGCAACGGGCCGCAAAGGGTTGAAGCGAGTTATAAAACGAGGCTATAATCGGCTCTCCGTGGAGACCGTAGAAAAATGTCCAGTTACGTTTTCCACAGGTCCCACTTCTTCGTTGCTTTCCAGTAATTTAATTGCACCCACTTAGCCTGTCAATTTCTTTTTCGGTGGATTTTGCGTATTATTACTTTATCGCCAACCCTTCCGGATTAGATTAGGTAACTGTTCTTCGCTTTTAAGAGAGAAAGCCGTTTTATTTGTAGAGTACTCCTCAGTTTTTTAAGATTCTCTTCTTTGATTCGTTACCGATTGTTCAGAATTGTGTGATAGGATTATCTTTTCAGGTGGCAGTCGATAATGGCTTGAATCGGTGATTATTATATTTGGTGTATTGTTCTAAGGGATTGTGTGGTGGTATTTGTGTGTATACATGTGGAGAAATAAATTGGGAATTTTGGAGGTTTGAAACTTTGTAGCTTTAAAACTTTAAAGCTTTGAAACCTTGAAACTTTGAAACGTTGACGCTTCGAAACTTTGACACTTTGAAACGTTGACGCTTTGAAACTTTCGAGCTTGGATCTTTGAAACTTTGAAATTTTTGAATTTTGGAACTTTGGAACTTTGGAACATTGAAACTTTGAAACTTTGAAATTTTTGAATTTTGAAACTTTGAAACTTTGAAACTTTGAAACTTTGAAACTATGAAACTTTAAACCTTTGAAACTCTGAAACTTTGAAACTTTGAAACTTTGAAATTTTGAAAATTTGAAACATTGAAGTTTTCAAGATTTGAAACTTCGAAGTTTCAAAAACTTCGGCTATTATACCCGTCGAACGTCTATCATCACGGACACCTCATTATTCCCGAAACAAAAGAAAACAAAAACTTCCAATCGACTCACCTGTGGGCACATCTTGCATTGGTACTTCCTCGGCGGATGGGAATGGGGCCCGCCCAAATGGGGGTTCAAATGCGACGGATGAGAGGGTTTCACGGTCAAAGGCTGAGGAACCACCAGCAAACTCGCCGGCGGGCTTCCGCTGCTGGATCCTCCGGCTCCTCGGTATTGATCCTCCCCTGAAATCATCGATCTCGAATCAACCATCGTAATCTTTGGTTGCCGCCTCAACCTTGATCCAATATCATAAATCGCGCGACGCACGCTCTCGGGGACAGGTTTCCTCCACACGCGATTTCCGGTAAACAATCGTCAAGGTGCGCGAGCGACGATCATTCTAACGAGTTGTAAATAGACCGACCGCGTCGCGTTGCGTCGCGCGCTAGATATTCGCTTGGGAACTCGGTTACAGGCAAATTTTTCCATTGATTTCTCTATTTTTCGAGAGCCGTAGCCGATCGAGCGAAATCAAACGATGTTTTTCGTAATCATCGTCTGCCAGATTAGAAAGTGACTCTCCGTATCAACCGGGAATAATATTTATTTATTTACGGGACAGCCGATAACCGGTGAACGGTGGTAAAAACCGGGGAAAGATTCTGCTCGCCACTCACCGGGACAATTAGCCCGAGATAATACGTCAATTAGGAAACCTCTGAAACGTATCGTCGGAAGAAACGAGACGGAGAAAGGTGGTTAGAAAAGGAAAATTGTCTGGAAGCTAATGGATCGGCGCAACGATCGCGGAACGCGCGAACGGCGAACTAAAAATAACAAAGAAACGTTGCAAAATTCAAGGAACTCTGGTCGACCGGCTTATCGTCGCGACCGATCTGGATTAAAAGGGTAATAATTAGAGAACATTACGCGATGCCACTGGAACGGAGTATCGTTTGAAAAATCGTTAGACATACAACCGGTCCTGTTCGCCACATTATTTTCGTGGATCGCGATAAATAAGCCTAGATGATAGATAGAAACAGTCTACATCGGCGCGCTTGTCGTATTAGCGACGCGCGTGTACCTGGTAGATTGAAATCTCGGTTTAGGTTGTTAAAATGATCGAAGGAAACGGCGAATGGATAAAGCGATCGTTTCGACAACAATGTTAAAATACCGGTTGAGTTATTGCCGCAAGAGAAGATAACGCGCATATACATATCTCTCCAAGATAAATTTGTAGTTGCTTTCACTGCGATCGCAACAGAAAAAGTCTTAAGCTTTTCGTTATCAAGAGAAACATTCAAGGATAATTTCACAAATCGTTACGATACTCCGAGGACGTATCTATAAGGTGTCCCAGGTTTTCTCGATAACATTGTCGGTATACACCGATCAAACTAAAAGCAACGAGATCGCGCAAGAAACACGAATAAATTTAATCTCCTTATCTGAAACTACTATGTAATATTTCCCAACAGAATATTCCAGATTTAATCGCACGCCATAATATCCATAAAAATAACTCCGTCAGTGTTCGTTTCGTTTACAGTCTCTCGCGTATTGTTTTATTTCGACTTGCGGGACGTACCTTGCTGACAACCCTTTATTTTTCCCTGAAACCGGAGGGGGGGCCGTGCCTCTTCCGTCTTTCGGTTTTACGAGGACGAGGAAACGATAAAGTTTGATCCCCGGCGAACGGTTTTATCAATTGATCGTCGAAAATCACGCGGAATGGCCGCGATAAACGTCCGCGGAGGATAATTAATGGAAGGTATCCGTGTGATATGAAGGATTGCACGATCACGGAGAGAAAGAGAGGCACGCGGACACCGATTGACGCAACACCGAGGGGCAAGGATCCTGGCAGGTTGCAAGGACGAGCGATCCTGCGTTACGAGTGGCTGTCGTTGGAGTCGAGCTCTCGATATCGAGATCGGTGTGCTCGCTCGCTCACACAAGCGAGCCGCGGCAGCAGGTGCATCCGTTTCATGTGTGCGTGTGCTCGAGTTTCCGTTGCGCCTGAGAGCTTGTTTCTATCAGAATTTTTACTTTTCCCTCTCCGCTCCCACTCCCCGCAACCTGCGCGACAACGAAATAGATCAAATTCTATCCGAAAGAGAGATTCGCTTTTATTACGGGTGAACCGGAGGAACGAAACCTTTCGATACTCGGGGAATATAGATCGAATATAATAAAATGCAGTTAGAAGTCAAAGAACGGAACGCGCCTGCCAGGGGAATTCGCCGGAAGTTTGGGAAACGATTCAATGGAACGTGTCAAAGGTGCGAGGAACGGAAAAAAGATTCGCGAGAATGTTAACCGTTTGACGGGTAATGAGGTGCGAGTGTTATGGAGAATTCTAGTTTGAGTTAATAGGAGTTCGTTGTATATAGACAGAAGAGACTATAATTATTCTGATTATTAATGTTATGCTTTCAACGTGGACGTGTTATAGAATGGACGGAAAGTTTCTTTGCGAAGATGATTAATGCTAATAAAATGCGTCAACTTATATTGAATATCATCATCTTGGTAAACGTGCGTGTCGATTTTGACTGATACAATTACGCGAACGTGTATTCTAACACTTCCTTTTAAACGTTTCCAAAATCTAAAGGAAAGAATATTAATATTTCTAGAATTGATCGAGTAAATCGCGTAATGTACGTCCGAGAACCTAGTATTAATCTTCAGTGAACAGATACTGTAGTGTTATGTACAACGAACAATTATTTGATTATTCTGATGATTGTTATGGTTATTTTCCACTTACCCGACGCGTTAAATGCCACGTCGATCCTTCGTAGTTCATTTATTTCCGTTTGTTGCCCATATACTCCACGCGAAGAGGTAAGCAAACTTAAGGCACTCATGGATCGTTAAGGGTTGATAGTAAAATAAATCTAGCGTGTGTAGTCGCGAAGAAAATCGTACAGCAAGGGGTTAAAGAGCTTAAAGTCTGTTCCCCCGTTCCCCTTTCTGGCTCGCGTCGGGCCGGTTTATAGCGTTCCCGATTCCCCCGTTCATTTTTGCTCCCTTTTTCGCGGTCGTTCGAGGTCGTCTCTTTCCTGCAAGATGAATTTCAGGCGCGCGCGCGAGTGCGAGCGCGAGTGCACGAAGAAAGTCGGGATCGGCAGGCGGCCGCGTAAAAAAACCAGCGGAAGCGTTAGGAACGTTAAACGAAGGAAGCTGTAATGAATTACGTATCTGATCCGTTTCCTGCCGGCTGGAGAAAAACTATCGTTCGGTTTTGCGAGCCATCGGACATCTTAAAAAATCAGATTCAATTACTGGAGCGGTTCGCCCCAGCCACCGAATTACCTCTCGCGTCTGCGAACCGACCCGTTTCGACGATCCTGCGTTCTTACGGCGCTTTCTCCGCCTCTTTGCCTCACGATCGACTCTTCCTCTTCGTGTCCGATCAATAAGAACTTCCAAAATCTCGATGAACCTGGCGATTCTCCTCGCGATCTCGCTCGATCAGGCTACTGCGATGATTTATTAACCCCGTGCACTCGAAAGTTTTTCACTAGAAATATTCAGCACTCTTTGGTAAAATATAGACGATGCTTGTTGCGACTGATGTAAATAATTTAATCGATAAATTGAGGGATGAAAGTATTTTACTTTGATATTTTGTAATTTATAGCTTTATCTCTCGAGTACGAAGGGTTGAAAAACAGGAAAGGGTTTGGCAGTTATTCTATGCCTACGTTTATTATAAAGGTTGTTGGTCGAGTGCAGAAGTGTATTAATCACTTTTCCTTCTTTTAATAAATTATGACGGTTTCATTGAGCACGATTGTGAGGAGAGTCGTATGGCAAGGTTCTATCAAATAAAAGGAGAGTTTGATAGAATTATTCTATGCGCGCGTTTATTCCAAGATCCAAGTGAAATTTAGTTTGGATGAAAAATTAAACGACATTCAGAGTTTACAAATTCGACATCGTTACGAATTTGATAGAGTATTGTGAAACAGGGGATTGAACTTGAAAATTACTTTTTTTTCCTAAATTGTATTCACTAAAACCTCAAATCATATGATCGTGTCATGAAAGTGCATGAAATAATGATTAAGTTAAGTGCGTTCGACGAGCATACGCACCTTAAAGCTTGAAATGATACTAATTCTGTCAACGGTGAATTCTTTATTTCTCAGACGAACATGTAATTCTCTTTTGCTTCGGTTTCCCATTAAAATATGAATATTCGTCCTTCGTTTGACCAGTGTACACTCCATCTTTCCATCTTATCGCGCACAAAACTCGAGATTTTTCAAACTAAACTCCGCAGTTAACAGTTTGAACAAAGACAACGCGAGGAAAGGAAAGCTCAGGAGTCTCGAATTATTCTTTCTTCCCCTGAAAAATATCTTCTTTCAGTTTCCCTGGCAGTCTTTCCATTATCTCTAACCGTTCAACAAGAAGCTCCGAAGCTGAAGAAACGCTGGGAATCGAAGAAGCGTGTCTCTCGTGGATCTTCGCTCGGAGAAGAACAACGAGAAAACAGTTCAGCGTCGATACCTGTGACGGGAGCGAATCGCAATGCTAATTAATCTTCATGTTGAGCAGGTGACGAACGACGACGCGCGTTAACGCGACGCTGAAAATTTTTGCAAATCACCGTTTCGCGGGACGTTCTTCTCCGTTTGCTTTTTTGTGTATCTCGCTCGTACACCAGATCCATTACCATCGCATTATTCGACGTTATCTTTGTTTAATTGACCGGACTTGCTCGCGTAATTGCTCGCGGATGCATGCAACCGCGATAGTTTAGCCCGGGGATTCTGTATTTTTAATTTGACCCGCGGCGAACATTCGATATTCGTTGCCTTCACCTTTCGCGAAAACATTATCTTAATGCCTGCTCGAGAGCTACGTCGATTCGCTCGCTTAACAAGCAGATCCTACACAAATACCAGCTCTTCGATAATGAATTGGCAACTTAAAGGAATCAGAAGTTTCCACGCGCACCTATTTGAAATCCTCTATATCCGATTGAATGTAACACTTGCTAGAAAGTGATAGCAATTTTCTCATTGCAACATTTAATTCACAATTAACGTAATTCTTTTGTTCAACACAAGCTTCTGAATCTTATAAACGTTCGATACACGTTTACATCGATTCTCATCGATGCAACTACTGGATACGTCCTCATCGTCTATTTTCAAACCTCCAACTTCCAAGATCTGAATGAACAAACTTCAATTCTTGTTGCCGTTAACATAAAACC